TTATTTGTCAGGAAAGTCCCTCTTCTCAGATCAGGTCAAGGAAAATGGTACTGAGTCATAAAGGCATTTTTTGCCCCTCACTAAGACTTGGAAAGCTACAGATCAACCCCTTTACAGCAGACTAAAGGCTGGGAGAGAGGTACAAAGACGGAGACTTCTGCCACTCAGCACCCAGGAGGTTGTGATGGGAAAAAGGCATGAAATCCTGCTCCCTGCCAGCAGCTTGAAGGTGCTGGACTTGTAGGTCTACTGAACCTCCACAAGCCAGAGGCTGCTCAGATCGATGCTGCACCCCTCATCGCAGATGAGGTGGGTTTCTAGACACTGCCCTTAGACCACCGACTGACAGACTGCCCTCCCCAAGATAAAAAATCCAGTACAATCTTCAAGTCCAGTTGAATAGTCCATGTGCGCTTCTAAACTTTATAGCCATTTCCAGACTTAGATATCTAAAAACACCAGAAGACAGTTACTGTATTTTCTCGGGGCCTGTGTGGTGGGCCAGTAGGGGTGCTCCTGCACTGAGCCACCCACCTCGCTGCCCGACCACCTTCCAAGCTACAAGTGCCTCCCTGGGGGTACCGCAAGTCCGGCCAGCCCCCTTCCTGGAGCACACCTGCAAGCCTTGGGGTAATGCCACCAGCATCCAGGGTCTGCATTGATCTTGGCCCTGTGCCCCCTGGGAAACACAGGCCTCGTAGTCCCTGAGGGGTATTTAACCCACTGCAAGAACTTGGGGTGCTTCCCTCAGTCTGAACCACAAAAAGTGGTCTCCCATAGTCAGCCAAACCAATGGGACCCCAAGGCATAATCTAGACCCTCTCCCAGTAAGTCTCCTATGCTAGGTACAGAGGAGAACATTATTGGTTACAAGGAGCAGGTTTGGAATAGGGTACAGGGTAGAGCAATATCAGAGAAATACCTTAGAGCAAACAATGCCATGGTAGCCTTTGATCATGCATCTGAGTTACTGCAAGCAATATATCTAGTTAGATTTCAAGTAGCTTACTCATGAGTATTATCCAGAGGCAGGGGGAGATTCCCCCCGGAGGCAAGCAGTTCATTGTATGGAGTTTCAAGAGAGAGAACAAGCTTCAGATGGTCCAGCTTCTGAAAAGCAACAGGATTATGACAACCCAGCTGGCTCCACTGAACAGCTTTAAACATAAAGTCACTTTTTGGGAATGAAATTAGTCAGAAACTTGAAAAGTAGCTTGACTTAATGTGTGAAATTTAAAATCGCAGGAAAGCAGGTAGAAAGACTGGCACGCTGAAGGATGACGCACAAAGCACCAAATACTGGTAGTTTGGTCATTACTCTATGATGAATAATGCTTTGCTGGTCTCAATTCTCTTTGCCTCTGGTCAAGAGGACTGCCCTTCTTTTCAAATATTGCCAGAATTGAAAATTGAAATTCGTCTATTTTATGTGGCATAATTTTTTTCCTTCAAAGCTTAATTTTAACCTTATGTCAAGCGCTAAATTTCTGAAGGAGTTACACAATTCACAAGAAAATATTTGATTCACAACAAATCACTGGCTTCATGCAGTGGGAAATCACATGTCTATGGAAGAATAATGATTTCTACAGTCTTCCAAACGTTTTGGAAAGAAGTACCATTTCCTATAATTGAATTGACAAGTTATAGAGGACCAAGCTAAACACATCGTCAAGGTGTTTGAATGACTACAGAATGGCTCCTTTTTTTAATATAATATATTCCCCTGGCAAAATTTTACTGTAGTTTCTTCTATTACACATTTCCCTCTCCCTTAGATAGGTGTCATCCAGACACCGGCTACAATGGTGTGCTAGTCTTGCAGAATATTTTAATCCTAGAATTGAAAAGAGGGCAATAAATAGCAATTAACATGAAAATTAATTCACAAAAAGTTAGTAAGTAGCTATAAGGTTCAGAAAAAAAACAAACAAAAAATAACTCCAAAAAACCAAGATCTTTGGTTGGCATGGTCACGGGAAATAAGGCATTTAAATATGCTAAGAACAAAGCTAAGACATAGCTGTGGCACATATCCATTACTAGGTGAGATGTTAAAAATTGCTCCTCAGAAGCCAGAAGCATCCAATAAATATTTGTTTTCTGTATTTGAAAGGAAACAGGACGATGCGCTTCTATCACTTAAGAATGGATTACTTCCCAGTCTTTTAAGTAACCAAGGAGGATGTCAAATACCATCTAACTATAAATTTTAAATCAGCCTACCCAGATATATGACAAAGAGCCCAAAAACGCTGTCGCTGGCCACAGATGTTTATTTTTAAAAACAATCCTTGAATTCGAAGGAAATTCCAGAAAAGTGAAAGAGTACTAAGAGTGTTCCAACTTTCAGAGCATTGCAAACAGGATGACTTGGGTAACTACAGGCCAGTTACTCAGTCCCATACAAAATGGTAGAAAAACTGACATGGGTTTTGATCAATAATATAATTGCTAGCATTCACCATGGCGTCATAGAAAATAGGCCTTGTCAAATAAACTTGATTTCATCCTCTAAGGCTACATGTTTGGATGATTAAAGGTAAATCACAGAGGCATAACCAAATTTGTGAGGTATTCTCCTTAACGTCACATGCCATTGTGATTATAAATCACCATGATATAATATCAATGTCAAATGGACTGAGAACCGATTGTCAGACCTCCAAAAAGTACCCGTCAGCGTGGGATCATCTTTGCACAGGGGTATTTGTAGAAGGGCTTGCACAGATCACTGCTAGACTTAGGAACATAGGAGAGCAGGGCTGGGAGGGACTTCACAAGGTTAGCAAGTTAACCTGCTCAAGGCAGGATCATCCCTAACTAAACCATGCCAGCCAAGTGTCCATCTAACCTGCTCTTGAAAATTTCCAGGGATGGAGACTCCACAACTTCTCTAGGCAGCCTGTTCCAATGTTTGACCACCCACATAGCCAGAAAGCTTCTTCTAATCTCCAACCTAAGTTTCCTCTGCTGCAGCTTGAGGCCGTTGCTCCTATTCCTATCTCCGACAGCCACAGACAAAAGGCCATCTCCATCCTCTAACTGCCCTTCAAGTCCCTTCTCAGTCTTCTCTCCTCCAGACTAAGTTACCCTAGCTCTTCCAGCCTTTCCTCATCTCGTTCAGCCCCTTGCTCTAGGCCAGGTCATCCCTGGCTGGGGGCGTTTAGTCAGCGATGATCCTGCCTTGAGAAGAAGGCTGGACTAGATGACCTTGTTAAGTTCCTTCCAGCCCTACTTTCCTATGATCCTGGAAGTCAAATTTCCCAGGTTCCTAATCATTTTTGTTGTTCTGCACTGGACTTTTTCCAATCTGTCCACATCCTTCTTGAAGTGTGAGGCCCAAAACTGGACACAGGACTCCAGGTGAGGCCTCACTAGCGCAAAATAAGCAGAAGAGTCACTTCCCTGGATTTGCAAGTAACATGCATGTGTTAAAACAACCCAGTATGCCGTTGGCCCATATTCAGCTTATGGTCTATCACCAGGTCCTTCTGATCACTACTGCAGCACTTAGTCATTCCACATTCTGTATGTGTGCGTGCAATTTTTTCATCCCAAGTACAAGACTTTGCATTTGTTCTTGCTGAGTTTCTTCTGGTCAATTAAGGCCATTTTCCCAGTGAATCCAGGTTATTTTGGATCCTACCCCTCCCTCAGGGGTCTACAACTCCACCCAATTTGGCCTCTTTTGCAAATCTGATAAGTATACACTTGATTCCGTTGTCCAGTCTGTGAATGAAGATACTAAACATCACCAGATGCAGGACAGATCCCTGGGGATCACCACCGGATACCTCCTCCCACCTAAAACAGAACCAAGGAGGATTACTCATTGAGCATGATGATCCAACCAGTTATGTATCCACCTAACAGTACTTTTGTCTAGTATTTTCCTAGCTTGTTAATGAGAAGGTTGTGAGAGAGAATGTCAAAAGCCTTGCTCAAGGCAAGGTACATCACATCCACTGCCTTCTCCCCATTCACAGAGCCTGTCACCTTATCTTATCTTAGAAGGAAATCAGGTTGGTCAGGCATGACTTGCTCTTGGGGAATCCACCCAGCTGTCTGTGATCACCTTGCTGTCCTTTGGGTGCTTCTCAATAGATTGCTTGGGGACCTGCTCCATGATCTTTCTGGGTATCAAGGTCAGACAAACTGGTCTGTAAATCCCTGGATTCTCCTCCTTCTCTTTCTTAAAGACAGGAACTATATTTGTCCTTTTCTAAGTACCTGGAACTTTCCCGACCTCCACAAGTTCTCAAAGAGGATAGATAATAGCTCTGAAATTTCCTTGGCCAATTCCTTCAGTACCCTAGGGCACATCCTATCTGGCCCTGCCAACTTGAGAGCATCTTAGATTCCTAGATTCTAACTAATTCCTAACCTGGTTCTGCTATAACCCTTGAAACTATTTTTTATCAATAATCCAGAAAAAAACCCATAAAATCTTCATGCGACTTAGACTGGCAGGATAGCAAATAACAAGGATAAGGTGGTCATACAGAAGAGTCTGGATTACTTGGTAACGTGGGACCGTTTGAACAAAAAGCATTTTGATTCCAAATGCAAGGTTATAATACTAGAAAAAAGGCACAGAGGCCAGAGGTACAAAAAGTACAACTGAATCCTGGAAAGCAGTCCCTCTGGAAAAGGTATTATTACAGACAATCAACTCCATATGAACTCCCACTGTGATGCCATATCCAGAAAGGGTACTGCAATCCTTGGCTTCAGAAGTAGAAGGAACAAGGTTGTGATTTTTTTTAATCTCTTCATATATAGGGTCTGGTATCCACCAGGGCTGTGCGAAGCTTCAGTCCCTGATTCGATTTGGTGGAGATTTGACCCGATTTGGTGGCCAAACCTCTGCCCCAAATCAAATCAGAAGACCCGTTAATTTCTCCGAATCAAATCAGAATCCTCCAAATCGATTGAGAGAGATTCGGCGATTCGGACATAAAGACAGCTTTAAATGTTTTTTCTGCATACCTCTAGGTAACAGGTGGGTCATGGGTGCTGCGATGCTGAGGTGCATGGAGTGTCCTACAGAAGCATAGGTGGCATGACTGTCCCATAGAAGCATGGGGGGCTCCCCAGTGCGCTCAGCAGCAGACCCCAAAATGGATCAGAAACACTTCCAGTCCACTTCCGGGTCTGCCGGAGAGCACACTGGGGGGCCCCCTCATGCCCCCCCAGCTTGCCAACTGGTGCCTCCTGGGCCTGGGGTGCACTTGGGATTGCCCCGTGGCCGATTGCCGAGCTGGGGGGTGCGGACGGGGGGTGGAGGGGGAAGAAGCCCCATGCACTCCCCAGCAGATCCAGAAGCGTACCGAAAGTACCGTCCCTATGGGACACTCCACGCACCCCAGCATCGCAGTGATCACGAGCTGCACATGCTACCTCGAGGCACGTAGAAAAAGCATTTAAAGCTGTGTCTACGTCCAAATTGCCGATTCTCTGAATCAGCATCGAATGTTCAGATTTGGATTCGGCCAAGTTGAACTGGGAACAGTGAACTGAATCAATGAATCGAATCACTGTCCCCAATTCAGGCTGAATCTGAACCCGAATCAAATAGGGCCCAATTCGCAAACCCCTAGTATCCACATTGCAAAAAGAACTTGGAAGATTTGAAGAGGGTACAAAAGAGCAACAGAAAAGTGATCCACAGGCTGGGAAAAGTGCTTTACAATGAAAAGATGCAAGGGACCCTAGCTTGAGAAAGAGATGATCAAGGGATGACCTGGTTAGACTCAGAGGATTTAAACTTCTCCAGGGGAAGGGAGTAGGAGGTAGAAAGAGATCCTGGGTGTTAACAGACTCTTTAATGAATAAGATTTAAAGAAGAACGAGTGGCTGGAACTCAAACTAGAAATAAGGCATGAAGTTTGACCTTTTCCAAAGATTAAACAGCTTCACCTATGATAGCACTTGGGAGTGGGTTTCACCATTTTTACACGGCTTCAAAAGGCTAGGCATTTTTTTGATGATTTCCTAGCCAAATACAAGTTAGTGGGCTCAAGACAGGGATAACAGACTAGAGTTTAAGGGTCATAAGGGGAAAGACTAGATGATCTAATGCTTTCTTCTGGCCTTAACCTCTAGGTCAGTGATTCTCAACTAGGGTGCCCCAGCACTGGTTAGTACTGTTAGGTTTACAAACATGATTCACAAGATAAACTCAGAGACTTCAAAAATAAATCAACGGCTGTGCCCTTTCTGAGTTCTTTGCAACAGAAAGATTGCTCTATTTTTTTTTGTCTACTGAAAAAGAGTGAAAACTAAGAGCTGACATATTCCAAAGGGTGCCTCGAATCTAAAAAGGTTGAGAAACACTGCTCTAGGTACTATCCAGTTTTTGCTATATCTGAAGGCTGATCTATCCATCTATCTATTTATCTAAAGGGCTTAGTCTGTCTGTCTGTGTGTCTGTCTGTGCGTAACGCTCTTTAAATATGAATAGCTTGAAAACTGTAAGAGAGAATATTTGTGTCTTCACATAAATGTCTTTGCTAAACTTTGCAGGGGTGTAGGTTGTAGCTGTGTTGGTCTGAGGACATAGGCAGACAAGGTTCCTTGGGTGAATTTGATATCTTTTATTAGACCAACCCAAAACTTTAGCATTTGTTTAGTGACCATGCCAGTATGATCCCAACTTCCAGAACTGAGACAAAAAAGTCAGGAGCCAGGGCTGTTTCTACTGAGCTCCTCCCAGGAGGACACCGGCAGCTCAGCGCAGTGGGGAGGGCAGAGGTGTGAGGCAATGGGTGAGCAGAGGCTGCCCTATCCCGAGCTCTAAGCAGGGCAGGAGGCGCCCGGGGGCAGCATGGAGGAAGCCCTGGGGCATAGGCGGCTGCTGCGAGGAGCTTGCCTGCCCTTGCTCTTGCCCAGCAAAGAGGTGCACAGGTAGCAGCTGCGCCTGCTGGACGAGACCAAGTGCAGGAAGGGATTGGTATCTTCAAATGTTCAGCCTATTTTGTTTAAGATCTATAAATATTTAATTTATTTAATAAATATGAAAAGTAAAACCTGTTTGTTTTTGTTACTGAAATTCATGTGTCATTCTTGACAGACAATTCGCTAGTTTTAGATAATGGAGGATCATACTAACAATTTCAAGAGAATGGTCATGTACAGAATTTGCTAGCAAATGTCCCGCTAAAGAAATATTACAAAATTGGTGTTTCATAGAAACAGGATGTTGCAACTGGAGGAGTATTTCAACACCGTTTCCTGTGTGATTTAATGGAAAAATCTGCTCCAAGTATCTCAAAAAGGTGAAATTAACCAAACACTGATTTACCCTTTGAAGTCACGCTAAAAACCCCAAACTTCAACTTTAAAAATTATATATAAAAATAATTTATTGTCCGAAAGTAAATAAAAAGATCAATTCATAGTCTTCACCATTTACAGACTTACGTTTCTTCTCTCAAGGAAGCAGTACTTTGGAAAACAGTTTCGAGGAAATCTTCACTGCTACCAAGATCAGCTATTCAGCTTCACTTATAATAATGAAATAAAATATTTAATGTCTCTATTAATTTACAGGTGCCCTGCTCAACAGTTTTCATGCTGTTAGTGTGTTATAGCGTTCACCACCATTTCCTTTCTTTTTGAAGCTTTCTTTGTTGTGTTAAGCTTGAGCGTTTGAAATCTGCAATCCTCAAGAAGCAGTTTTGAATTCCGATGGAACCATGGGTGTAAGTATCCATTATAGAAGTCAACAGCTATAAGCCTCTTGTTCTTTATGACAGTTTTGACTCCAACCCAGCCTTCCTATGAAGGGAAATAAAAGATGTACACTGTTTCTTCCAAACTACTAAAAGCCAACATACATATTTAAAAATTTACTAATCTAGGAATGCACTAATTTAAATGTTACAAAACACTGAAGTTGTACACTTTTTAAACTGAACATTATCTGGATCAACCTTTCACTTGTAAATTAAAATCCTGTTACCAGGCACAGCAAAAGTACTTTAATCTACAACGTAAAAAAAGTTTATTTGGCTGTCACGGGGTGAGGTCCCTAGGGACAGCCGTGATGCCCCTAGGGCCCTGTGACCATGCCAGCTTCACCCTATGGGTGCCTTCTATTCGTGCCTGCCACGTCTCGATGGGTAAGATAATAGATGGTAGATAGGGAGGCTGCCCTCAAGGTGCTATGCAGTCACAGTCCTGGTGGACCCCACTAAACCATGTGGGTTCTTAGACCCCTTGCTGGGTCCCTCTCTAAGTAAGTGCCTTGTGGGACACCCCAAGCTTTATGGGCTACATGCATGGCTCAAAAACCGCCCCTTTATCATGCCCCATGCCTAGCAGACGGTATGCAGATGTTGTCTCGTGATGAGGCCTCAGCTTAGTTCAGCTTCAGTAACTGCGCCCTCGGGCGCTGGGGTCTCCTCACCCCGTCGCTGGGCTCTTTGGTGCTGGGGCTCCGCACGGTAGTGTGCCCCAATGCGGTCTCCTCCTCCCCAACAGCCTCATCCCAGTCCACCAAATTAAAAGCAACAACATAAATATGAGCCCCTGAGCTATAACATAACAGCAACCATAACCCTGGATACTTTAGTCTCACCAACAGCAGCACAGACACACAGCAGCTGCCAGGGCCCTAACTGCCTTCAGTCCCAGCCCTGTGGCTTATATGGGCCCAGGCCCTGCCATCTCTCAGTCAGCTGACCGGGTACAGCTGCAGGCTAATTCCCTCCTCAGCCTGCTGCCACAGTAACCTGCACCTGTGGGCTCCTAGGGCCCTCTCTCTAGGCAGTTTCTGCCCTTAAAGGAGCAGGCACCTTAGTGCCCTGTGACATTGGCCTAAGCCAACAAAACAGATGCATAAAAAGTTAATACACCAATTACTAAAAATAGCAGAAGCAAGACTAAACATTAACATTCAGAAAAGCGAATGGAAAACAAAGAACAATTACCTTGCAACGAACCACCAATGTCTGGGAAGGTTTGTGGTATAACACAAAGCCTGGAACTGTTCTGTCTTCATTTAATAAATGATCTGCAAACAAATGGACCACCTTGCATTTTCATGTTACTGAATAAGAGTGAAAATATTAAGTTTATATTTGTGCCTGTCTTTGAAGCACAACAATTATCTAAGAACTAGTAATTGCTCAAAAACACTTTGCTGTGCTTTATCCATTCCTTCATGGCGTAGAGCAAAGAACAGCAAGTCACAACAGGTGTGAAAGTGACCCATGAGTGGCAATGGCTCTGTAGTGCAGTGTCTCATCTTATACAGGGCAAAGCTCCTTCATATTAATAAAAACATATCTGGTCTGCCGGAGATTGAACAGTAAGAAGCCACACTCTGCAGTGTCTCGTATTTCCAAATAAAGGCAGAAATATCAACTCTCCTAACAGACACTATTCATCCCCTCAAGGGACTTGCAAAGAGGGAGAGTCAGGGCAAGACCACAGAGGGGCTAGTCTTCCTTGAAAGACACAAATCAACTTGGGACCCATGTCATTAAAGCAGGATTTCCCTCAATTATCCTCAGGTTTAACAAGGTTCCAGGGCTATGCCTCCTGCTCCCACAATGAAACCATTAAATATATTTTTAATCAGGCACAAATGTAGATGTTCACCTCAATGAACAGGGAGTAAAATTTTATAAATCCCCCTACACGGAGACAAGAAAATGTCTCATTTAGAGGCAAGCCTTCCTTAAATTCCATTCGACATCCAATTTTGAAATCTGCTTCATTTAAATGTTGCCTTGTGCAACTACACATTCACTTGCATTTAAATTAATTCACTGCACCTGTGTAAATTTTATAGCAAAGGTTATTAACAGATTAAAGTAAATACCAGCAAAGTCAGGGTTGTTATGCACCTCCACAAAATCCAGAAGTCTAACAGGACTACCCTCCCAGAGTGTCTGCAACGGGAACTGGAAACAAGATCACACACAGCACTTTCACAAGAGTCTCAGTTAATCAATATTTATCATCATATGAAAGTTACCTGCAGTAAACAGCATTAGGGCAGAGATTTAGGGACTGTTCCACGTAGGAGTTTATACATCGTAATGTACACAGTGCTTAATTGTTTCTTTGTGCTTTCCTCCTTTATGAGCTATATTAAGTTATAAGACTAATTTTGAATAATTTTTGCCAGCCACCAAAATGGGTTTGTATTAATAACTTGACAACTTATCTGCACACTGTTAACTTTTACTTAATACAAGAAAAATGTGCAGGTACAAGTCTCATATAATTACAGTGAATAGTGGAAGAATTTAACTTAAATTCTATTACTCGGCACTTTATAAATACAGCGTCCTTCCTCCCAACACCTCTGAAGTCCTACTTACATCATTCCTGTTTTATAGATGAAGAAAGTGAAACAGATTTAATCAATTTGTAAATAAAGTAATAGAGAACTGTCATCCGAGCTAGAAATTCTCCCAAGTTATGACCCTATTCTCACCCTACTAGCCTGTTGCACCTCTCAAAAGAATCAAACCATCATTTGAAAGGCTAGCAATTCTAAACACAATAGGGGGTAGAAACACTTTAAAAGGAAGGTTTCTCAGAAGTCCTGTTTGGTCTTACTTTAGCTCCTATGGCACGGTGTAGTCGCAGTATCTGCTCAGGAGTTTGTTCTTCCCATTTTATACAACTCACGGCAGCAGTGATCTTAGGAGCTAGGATCAAAGCAGAGTGAGAGCCATTATTTCCTGCTTTGTGTTCATTCACAGCTGAACAATGAGGTGAAGACAAGTGCATAACTCATCTCAAGCAAGGGCAGAACCAGAAGGCCTTGCAAGTTGATGACACTTTTGTGCAAGCCCAGTAGCACATTTCCTAATGCTGCTGATAGGTTTCATCACAAGCAGTGTACCCAAGATTTTCTTTTCCAGTGGGTGTTGGGAAGGCAAATATGGCTTCAATCTGAGGGAAGATCCTGCAGCACTCTTCCCCCCTTGCTCCAATATGGCTGTGCCACAGAAATCACTAGGAGCTTTGCCTTTGGCTATGAAAGTCAGAACGAGCCCTACATGAAAGCCAATATACAACACATCCACCAAGAACACATGATATGGAATCATGGAACCCAAATTCAACCTCCCCCGGTAATAGAAAACAAAGACAGATTTCATTAATACTCTATACCTACCAAACGTGACTCCCTCCTGCGGTTGCTCCCTTTTATTTTCTAAACTTTCAGGCAAGTTTTTCAAAACGGAAAGAAGCTGCAAAATGAGATTTTGTAAAGGACAAGATCAAATGTAAACAGCATATTACAACTACATTAAGTATACTGCCAGAAACATCCTTCCAAAACAAGAACCCAGCATATATTTTGATCCATGCAACTTTCTATAAAGCTCACAAGAATATCACTTCATTGTACCTAGAATACACCTGCCTATACTATTCCATCCCCATACCACCCAACCTCCAATTAAAAAGTGAATATTCCTCAACTTTCTGCTGGTACATGGCCTAGCAGCACTGAATCAGTACTGGAACAAGAAGAAAACTGGTTTATAGTCAAAGGAAAAAATTGCTACCGACTTTAGTGGAGGTAGTGTCAGATCTAGTGTTTACAGTATTCAAAATTTCTTGCATGGCTGTTTAAGTTAGAACACAGGCAGACTGAAACTAGATCTCTCTTTTACACAGTTCTACCAGTACTGCCAATGTCTCTTTTCAGCAAGACAGGATGTTCAGAACTGGCAAATCTCAGACCACCCAAGCTTGTAGTCAAAGCTTGCAGTCAACTCAGACTAGTATCAACAACAGTTCTGTTTATGTACTGGGAACCTACTTTTTCTCCTCAAGGAGTTTCTTTTGACAATTCAAAGCAATAATTGCTTAGAAAAAATATATATGGATAATGGCTTGTATAAATTTACCAAGTTAGCACCCAGTTTTGATAATATTGCTTCTAGCTCCTTTGCTGTGCAGTGGGGAGGAACAGCAATCTTTTCTTGCTTAATAATTGGACCAACATCAAACCTAAAAACAAATACATTTATATTAGTTTCATCCTTTAATAAATTATCACTTCACTCATATGCAAACAAGCATGCAGTTTTGCACAAGGCTTCTGTATTAACTCAAATAATCACTCTCCCTTTCTATTTGAGTAATAACTACTATGTTAAAATTGGCTTCACAAGACAACAGATCAAAAACAGAGAATAGTATGACACAGCTGAACAAAAAACTAACCAAATACAGGATTTCCAAATCAAAAGGCAATATTTCAAAAGAAAGATGGACTGCAATATTCAGGCCTTTCACACCTTGCTGAGGTCTATTATTGGACAGGAGCCAGCAGGAAGAGTAGACAGCACTTTGAAACCTGACACTAAAAGGGGAGAGCATATACTTTTAAAAAAAATACACACACTATAGGATGGCACTTCACATGTGTTCATTTTCAGAAGTAAACCAGGCTGTGCAGAGTGAAGTAGTGCATTGGCAGGGCACCCAAGATGCTTGCTAGGGCTCCAGAAATGTAAGTGCAAACTCCTTCAGACGTATGCTGAAGACTACCCCCAGCTGACCCAAGCATAAGCAGATACCTCATGGTTCAGGCTGAGGAATCAAAGGTGGCCAAAAAGTGATCTATGTCACTTCCTTGTACAGCAACTAGCTATAAGAACTAGTGTGCCTTAACCACACTAGACTCAGGCAAACCACCAATAACTTGTGCATCAACCGTTTACCTAGAGAAGCAAATTATCAGTTTCATCAAATAGCTGCCTAGATCAGTAGTCCTGCAGATTCCAAGACTAGCTTTGGCTTGTACAACAAATCACCAGCATATGACTTTGAAATGGTGGTTCAATGTAATTTGTGTGTTCACTCAAATACAAGATACATAACGAGTCAGCAGGTCAGATCAAATTGCTGAACTACTTTCAAGTATTTTAAATATTAAGGATATGGATATGTGCACACATCCATTTCAATTAAATAAAGTTAACATAGCGTAGTGAATATTCATAAGTTAACTTAACATTGGTGAGGCTGCAGCTGGAATACTGCATCCGGTTTTGGGCACTGCACTTCAATAAGGATGTGGATAACCCTGAGAGGGTCCAGAGGAGGGCTACTCGTATGGTCAGGGGTCTGCAGGTAAGCCTCTATGAGGAGAGATTGAAGGACCTGAATCTCTCCAGCCTCTGCAAGAGAAGGCTGAGAGGTGATCTTGTAGCCATCTACAAATTCATTGGGGTGGGGGAGCAACAAGGAATAGGAGATGCTCTGTTCACCAGGAAGCCCCTTGGGGTAACTAGAAACAATGACCACAAACTGACAGAGAGTAGATTTAGGCTGGACATCAGAAAGAGCTTCTTTATGGTAAAGGTTACCAGAATCTGGAATGGGCTTCCAGGGGAGGCAGTGCTCTCCCTTACCTTGGAGGTCTTTAAGAGGAGACTGGACAAGCACCTGGCCCCAGCA